ATCGTTTTATTAGGGTGGATTATTTCTCATTTAATTTAATGTTGACTTGATATACCAGCTCACCAATTAAATATGCCAACTCAGCTAAAATATGTCAACTCATCGGTTCATATGAATGATCCGGTTACCCCAAGGTGAGATTTAAACAAAAGGTATACTTTGTTGGTGTTTTAAACATTCTTATCCTTATAAGTCACTAGGTTATAACCCGTGGACACCACGGATAAAAAATTTAAAATTAATTTTATTTTATTATAACTTAATTGTTGAGTAATGATCATAAAGTAATACTAATTGGGGATATATACCGGTGAAAGTTATGTAAATATTTTTAACAGAGAAAATGAGAAAAAAAATTATTTAAACAATTCATATAAGTATTTTTATGTATATAATGTTTTTATTTACAAAAATATTAATTTTTATTTTAACAAAATACCCACCAAAAACATAGCACTTATCAGCCAACCCTACCCCCCCCCCCCTCTCTCTTTGGCTATAATAGAGGGTGTTTGGGAATGCTTTAAAAACAACATTTTGACTTTTCAATTTTCAAAAAAATCAAAAAAGTGCAAAAGATGTTTGTCTAAGTTAAAAAGTTCTTTTTAAACAACTTTTGAGCAAAAGGAAAAAAAAAGGCTGATTTCAAAAGTCACAAAAACGTGATGTTTGAGACTTTTGTACTTTTTAAAAGCAACTTTTGTCTTTGTACCATCAAAACACATTTTAAACCATAACTTTTGGAAAAACACCTTTTACAAAAAGTCCTTTTATAAAAAGGACTTTTTGACCTGAAAAAGTTATCCCAAACACCCCATAGAAACGAAGACCTAGAATTATCCCCAAATCGATCTTTCCGCCAACACCTGAAACATCTCCCTCGTATTCATTTCAGAAAGGGTATGGAAGTTTCTCCATTGCTGTCGATGAAGGCAGATACGAATATACAACCATAGAAGAAGATTTAACTGAAGAGAAACTTATGTTGATTAATATCCGATGTAGAACTCAGAGAATGAAGAAACGAAACATTGGGGGTTGAAGACAGGAAAATGTTCGGTAAGAAATTATCTAAATCTTTGTTAATCTAAGTTTTTTTTAACAGAACATACATTAGTTGGAAGATAATTTTACTTGATTATTTTTTGTAGAAATGTTGTCTTTGAAGATGTTAGCAAATACTGAAGTGGTAGTAAGGAATAACTCGAAATACTTTAAGAACGGAGACACAATTAGGTACCTTTCAATTTGCTTGAAATCTTGAATTTCATACAGTGTGAGTATTTGTTTGAATCAGGTACCTTCCAAATTAGATTGACATGGTAATTGTACATATATAAGATTAAGATTCCACTTACAAATTTCAGATTTTGGGTGTATAAGAATGTAGTGTATGAAGGAAAAATCTTGAAATGGAGTAATAACAATTTGTCCTATTATGCTTTTTTAAAATACAAAATGATTTGTTGTAACTATCTATCGATGATTTGTAGGTTTAGTTTGAGTTTGTGTATGAAGGAACCATTTTTGTTATCTTATTATACCACAGGTTGAGTTTGAGTTTTGTTGTAACTATCTATCGATGATTTGTAGGTTTACAAGAGTGGACCATTGTTGTTATCATCAAAAGGTGATTTTTCTTCATCATTCAGTCTTTAAAAATGTTACACCTATGTTTTTCTGCTATTATGGAAAATCATTGCATGGTTATAAACTTGGGAAGCACTTAGAGTGCTTATCAATAAGAAGTAAAATTTGTTAAATCATTTATCATTTATTGTTTAATATTGTTAAGAGACTACATGAATTAGTTTGTGCCACGAATTAGTTTAAGAACAAATAATGATCCTTTCAATGTCTCTTTCTTAATCTTTCATACACTTTGATTTTCTTATTTTCCAAAAAAAAGGTTGTTAATATAATTTAATTAATGCATTATTTTCCAAATAAATTTATGTCTTTTATTAGGCGATGGAAATATTTATTGGTTTTTCATATTGCAAGTAGTTACAGTTTTACATGGCATGCATGTTAGTTACTTGTACAATTATGCTAATTACACATTAGAAAAAGTACATTGTTGTTTTTGGTAAATGAAAAAAATATGTTAAATCTTGAAGTTTCACGAGTACTTTGTGCTTGGCTTTATCGATATATTTTTAAATAGTTATTAGGCATTTTTAAGTACACATAGGCCGAACAGAATACAAACAATGAAAACAAATGGCAACATTAATAGAAAAGGGCATGATTGTAATTTTCTATGTCAAATAAATAATAATTGTTTTATCTTTTGTTTTTTTTTATAGGAATTTGACCTTTTTGCCCTTTGGCTAAAAAACTGCCGTACATAAAAGTTACTTGGTATAAGATTATATAAATATAAGAAGCATTGTACTTTTACAATGCTATAATTTTTAAAACATGATATATGCTAAGTAGAATGCTATGAATGGTCTAAACTTATAATTACAACACCAGTGAAGATATTTACAATAAAAGACAAACCACACAAAAAACATAAGTATATGCAAAAGGATAATGCTTTATTAAGAATTACCCTATATTTGTATAAGATAATATAAAAGGGCATAATTGTCATTTTATATTAAAAATAGAACTATGGCAGTTTTATTGTTTGTTGTTGGTACAGGATATTGTCATAAGCATATTCAAAAGCGGGTTGACTGATGTGAACAAACATTTATTTGGTATAATATAATATAAAAGGCAGAATTGTCATTTAAAAAAACAATAATTGCAGTTTTATAAACAACAAATAAAAGAAAAGGTATATTTGCTATTACTTAGAAAGTAATGTAAGTATCAATAGGTATCTGTCACAATGACCTATTGAAATCGTTAACATAATCAATAGATATTTGTGCTATTACTTAGAAACTAATGTAAGTAGAATGCTATGAATTGTCTAAATTTAAAAGTACAACAACAGTTAAAATATTTAGAATAAAGGACAGATTAATTCTTTCATTTAAATCGTGAGCATATTATGCTACTATGCTAATAGTTATAGACCGATCAATGTTTTTTCATATACTTTAAGTTAATTTATTTAACGTGTATAACTATAAGATATTACATACACAAAGGAACAAACATAAATACACATATATATGTTTATACGATGGTACATAAGAGGGGTAACAGAAGGAGTAGAAGATAGAAATTATCAAAATAAGGAAAAATAATATACAAATAAAAAATCGACATGGTTGTTTAGAGGATGCTTTATCAAGAATTGCATAGATGAAGAAGCATATAAGAATCAAATGAGAAAGATGGAAAATGTTGGAAAAACATTTAGGGGTCGGTATTTATAGTTGTAATGAATAGAATAAAGATAATATTGTAATCATGATTGCATTCCTATTATGATTGTTGTAAATTTGGTAAAAGATTAATGAATTCAAAATAATTGCTGATTATATGGGATATTGTTGACTTCATTCTAATGTATTTGAAATTGAATTTGAATGCAGGGATAACATGGTAACCGAATTTCCACCAAATTCGGCAGCTGAAGTTTAGGGATACAAATTTGATTACCGATTTGATATCGATTGATGAATTGGGTGGGAGAAAATAGATAGAATTGCTGGAGAGAATGCCACGTGGGAGAAGATTGGTTTAAAAAATGGACACGTGGCATGTAGGAGAGGTTTTTATTAATAACTAGGTTAAAACCCATGGAAATCCACGGTTGATAATTTGAAATAGAATTATAATTTTCATTTTGGTTGTGTAATAAAAAAACATATCAAAGTTTACAAAAAATGAAGAATAGTGATATTGTAATTAACATGAATAAATGAAATGCAATAAAGTATTATAAATTATTTAATTAATATGATGGATGAAATATTATTTTTGAAAAGTAAATAAAAGATGGTACAAAAACACTGTTTATAAATTCTAGAAAACTTCTTTATAAACAACATTGGAAGTTTGATTTGTGAGGCTATCGTCCTTATCTAAAATTAATAATTTGAATCTCTCTCTGCTTTGAACTGTAGATAAGGCAACATACAATTGGCCATGTGAAAACACGGGATGTTTGAGAAACAACCCACCCTTGGAATAAAACACGGGATAATGATTGTCCCTGACTCTTATTAATGGTCATTGCAAAACATACAGTCAATGGAAACTGTCTTCTTCGGAATTTGAAAGGAATCTTCTTTTTTGATGGAGTTAAAGACATTCTTGGAATAAAAGTACGGTTTCCAATATTAGTTCCAGATATGATACGCGCCTCAATAACACGTTTGCCCAATGATATCACCTGGAGTCTTGTCCCATTACATAAGCCATTTTTCTCAGCAATATTCATTATTTCATTATTTCATTTTTACTGTCAATATAAAATAAAAAACACATATTAAATGAAACCAATGAACATCTGACGTGTTTTCTTTCAACCAAGGACATGCTCGAAAACAGAAAAATAGAATAAGTTAGCATAAAAGCTAAAGTTTGTTGGTATTCCTTCTAATATGCAGTAAGAACATAAAAGAGAATGAAACAGACTTTGTGCAAATAATATGCAGTATTTAAATAATACGAATTTGTACTTTTTAGATGTTTATGTTTTAAAAATGAGAACAAATTCTGCACATTCAAGTGAAGTGACATGTGATAACTACATAATGAACAAACCAAAAGGAATAAAAGGTAAGAAGAAAATGGGGACCAAAATTAAGAACAATGACGAATATTTTAATATGCTAGCCTGATTGTTAAGTGAATAATAATGTTGATTATATGATGTTCAGAAACGTGAAACAAAATAACATAGTAAATGACATTAGAGTACTGAAAAAATTGAGCCAATGTAATTTCAAGAAACAAATATGAAAATCATAAAATTCCCAGAAAACCACCTTAAAAAAACAAACTTAAAAATGTAAACGGCTTAGGAGTCTATGATGCTGAAACAAAATTAACCACGAACTAAGATTGTTTGTAGAAGTAAAGTGCATTTACTTTTCTTTCTTGGGTACCAAAAGAGGGATTGGTTGTTCATCTGGTGTTGGCAACCGAGGAGTTTTAGAGGTAGACATATTCTCCATTTCATCAAGATCTATGCATGTAGCAAGGTTTCTTTTCAATTCTGTTGGTGTAGAAAACAACTTTGTAGGACTTGTTGCAGTTGAGTTGTCCCTAGCACACGGTGTTAAATTTTCACCTGTGTGTGAAAAAGAATCCTAGAAGAAATTTTAGTTAGTTGTTATACATTAAATTGAAATATTTCAAAATTATATTTTAAAAAGTAGAACCTTGACAACTTTGGTCTCTTGGGAGGCAATATCTGAAGAACCAATCATGAATGAATCTGAATTAGCAGGCTGCATTATAAGATCAAAAGAAAATGTTATTTTAGTCATATATAGTTGGGCCAATGTGGTAAAAATATATATATAATTGTTGACAAAAACTTGTGAATTCAGATTCTTTTTCTCCAGTTCATCAATTATGTTTGCTTTCTCAGTCAATCTTGCTATCCCATAAATATTACTTTTATTATCCACATTGTAACTTGTGATATCAATTTTAATTGCCAACTTTTTGTCAACCACAACTTTCAACTCCATTGGATACAAATCCAAACTGATGCCAAGCTAAAATATAAATAAATATTGTTAGATATTTTGTATGTAAAACATATAATGTATAACATAAAGAAGTAATTAAAAACTATAAAATAATACCTTCTTGTTTTTATCATACAACTCTTTAGCTGTGTATTTAAATAACTTCTTTGCTTCTTGATCAAATAAGGTTAAAGTCAAGGTTCATGTGTTGTCTTAAACACGAAGTGGGATTTTAAATCTAAATAAAGTATAAAATCATATTAGATTACACAATTATGATAAACATATATTATTTTTATATAAAATAAATATTTAATACCTTCGAATAACCGAAATTTTGATATTTTTGCAATTAGGATTAGCACATTCATAAGTAACAATTTCAGCCACTTCATGAGAACCATCAACCTTATCAGTAGAAGACTCTTTTTCTTTTGCCGACTTTTTGCAGTTGCTACAAGCAAGGTAATATCATCGTATGTTTTGACGTATTCCCTTAACAGTACCAACAATAATGACCGTTTTCTCCTTGAAATTTAAATAATGTTCAATGTTAATAAATGTTAGTATGCAAAAGTGTATGCTACTTTCGTTATAACAATATACTTTGTTTGTTTCTTACTCTTTTAAAAGTTAAAAAAAAGGTGCATTAAAGTAACAACTTTAAAAATAATGTAAAGTACCTCTAAAGGTTCAAACAAATCATCAATGTTAGAAAACAGATGATTTTTCATAAAGTCATCGTGTTTCGTGTCTTGTTTTGATGCAATCATCTTGATTCCACTTGATGAAAGTTGTTGTCCATTTTCAAAAACCAATCTATTAATTTATAAGAAAAAAATAATTAAATTTAATACATTATGAAATAAATAAATCTGAAAATACAACAGTCATTATAAATGAAAATACTTGTTTTTGTAGCTTGTAATCTCATCGATATAATTGTTTATGAACAACCTACTAACATCAAAGTAGGTGGAGGAAAAAGGACGACCTGCAAAAATAATTTTGATTAATTAATTATATATAAAATTTTAAAAAATAGCTTTTAAAAATAATTACAAACCATTAATAAACTTGACTCTGGCAAACTGAGCAATAACAACAACCGGAGCAAGGCTGTTATTATTAGCAAGAAAATCTGACATGTAGTATGCATTATGACCCCCACAAAGTTACCTTAAGCTTAGTATCCCTGAAAACAATAAAAAATTATTATAGATAATATAAAAGAAAGTGTATTATTTGTTTGTAATAATGGTAGATACTCTATATCTTGAAGATGCAAGAGCATTTTGTGTTTTGATTTATCTTCTTCAGATGTATCCGTACACCCATATTCAAATATGTGTCTAATAATATCTACAAAAGCAACAAAATAAATTGCTTAAGTTAAAAAAATGATCAATTTGTAGTACAAATAAAGAAAGTAGGATGTTATATAACAAAAGTTAATATTAAATGAAATAACCAAAAGAGTTTGACTCCAGGATGTTGTTCGAAACGATCGTATTGAAGTCAACAAAATCAAAGCCGTGTGCAGATCCAGAAAAGTTTTCACACTCTTTCACAGTTGTATCGTGGTAAAAGTTAAGTTTTCTTTCTGGATCAGCAAACTTAAATTTTAAAGTATTTGGTGCGACGTTAGGTTTCTTCACATATATTGAACTATGTTCTTTAAGATAGCGTTTGAATTTTGGAAACCATTTTTTCACACAAGATGCATGAATTTTCCTTCCCTAAAAAATCAACAAATAACAAATATTTATATATAATGGCTTATGAATATGAATAAATTTTTTCAAAAATAATAATTGAATATATAAATCATATACCTCCTCATCCATCAAAATCATTTCTGTCGGTTATCTTTCGTTTGCATTAAATTTTGACTTTTGAGTCCAAAGATGTATGATTCGAACTTTAATTGTGAAATCATCCTTGATTGAGTCAATTTCCTTTATAGGAGTAATATGTTCCATTGTACCTTGCAATTAAAAAAAACCTTGTTTTGTTAACAAAAATGTTCAAATATAAAAAGAAAAATCGAAAAGCATTTATTTATTTATTTATTTATTTATTTATTTATTTGTCTTAATTGTTAACTGCCATGTATCAAATACTTTTCAACTTAGGGGCAATATGGTCTTTTTGGAGTAAACGAAGTGGGAAAGGGTAACATGACAGTTATAAAAAATCGAAAACTATATCATAGACTATAGTAGAAGTTTTATTATTCAGAATACATAAAAAAAACTAAAAAAAAATACAAATAGCAATGTACATTCAGTTTTTTGTTTTCAAATTAAGGCATTATGGTCTTTTCTAAAGAAAATGAAGTTGATAATGAGGTCACATTATCGTTTAAAAATTTGTATAACAGTTGTGAGTTTTAGAAAATATAGTTATATATAAGATATGTATAAAGCATTGAAAGTAAAATAATACAATGAAAAAAAAATCAAAAACTATATCATAGGCTATAGCAGATTTTTTATTATTCAGAATACATAAATAAAAAAAAACAAATAGCAATGCACATTCAGTTTATTGTTTTTGATACTATAATTATACAGAAACAGCAATGAAGGGGAAACAGTCAAATACCTACCGATAACAGGTAAAGTATATTGTTGCTATGAATTGAAATGAAGGCGATGGAAATAGTAAAATAGTAAAATACATAGTAGAAGTTTTATTATTCAGAATACATAAAAAAACAAAAAAAAAAAGTAGAAATAGCAATGTACATTCAGTTTTTTGTTTTCAAATTAAGGGCATTATGGTCTTTTCTACAGTAAATGAAGTTGATAATGAGGTCACATTATCGATTAAAAATTTGTATAACAGTTGTGAGTTTTAGAAAGTATAGTTATATATAAGATATGTATAAAACATTGAAAGTAAAATAATATAATGAGAAAAAAAAATCGAAAACTATATCATAGACTATAACAGAAGTTTTATTATTCAGAATACATAAATAAAAAAAACCAAATAGTATTTTACTAATTCAATTTATTGTTTTTGATACTATAATTATACAGAAACAACAATGAAGGGGAAACAGTCAAATACCTACCGATAACAGGTAAAGTATATTGTTGCTATGAATCGAAATGAAGGCGATGGAAATAGTAAAATAGTAAAATGCATATAGAAGCAGAAATTATATACCACAGAAAGAGAGAATGAATATACGTAACAAACCTAAACCTGGTTGATTATGCAGTCCACAAAAAGAAGGCGATTGGTATACCCTGAATATAGGAAAAAACAGATTGAAAAAAAAAAAATCGATGAGTATAAGATCGATATATGAAGAACAAAAAGAAAACAATGTAGTATCCCTTACCAGACGATGAATATTCGATTTATTCTTATTGAAAGAGGAACGTAGCTGTTTCTGTATATACATATATTTAAATTTAAATTAGGAAGACTTTGCCTGATTTTTTGGGATTGTTATTCGATTGACTGATTATTTGGGATT